ATATGGCCACGTACAACACCAGTTATAGTTGTCCCAATCCGTAGGCTGGGGACAATATGCCAAATATCCTGAAACGAGTATAGTTATACACAGGCAAAATTTTTCGATACTCAGTTCTATGCGAAAAAGGTCTTAAGATGATGCTCCATACGAAATCCATTAGTTACCGATTCCTTACTTAAAAGATTTATTTTAAAAATTGCTACACTGCAATAATGTTGCACTAACTTCTGCAGTGTCACTGGTTCGAAATTTGGCTTCTGACCATCTAACAAATGTAGATGTTTGCGGTTTGTTGTTATCATTTCCGGGAATCGAACTGAAGCCGGGTGCGTGGGCAACCCAGGAAATAACGACAGTTTTCTCCTCATCTATTATCAGAACCTCTCTCGTATTCTTCGATTGTGTTCGGGAGTTCTCTTATTCAGCACCGCCGAAGTCACGAAAAACGATACAATCAATAAATCGATCGCTTTGATTCATAGGGTTCTTGTAGAATTCCACCCCCTATCGATCAAATCCATGTAGTGTGACCGGCCTAGTCATTCGCTTCCATGGATACTAATCCCTTAATTATTAGCCTATTGCTACATATCCCTAGCTGACCACAGCGTCAAAACATTTAAGATCAATTACCAAATAGAAAAACCATTATCAAAATTAAATGAAAAATAAACAGTAAACAACCAACCATAACCGCTAGGACACCAGAATATCCTCCTGTTCCCCAGCCGACCTTCAATGTACTGTGTAATGGGATCGTTCAACGCTTGTGCATCTGTATAGTACACTGAAAATCAATTATTGATCGAATGAATTACCAATTATCGGCGGACACAGAACATGTCTGAATAATTCTGAAGAATTCCATAGCGTAGCAAAGTCATAGTAGTTGTAAGCGTGGTGTGATGATTTCCATCAGACGGGTGTGAGTCAGATGGCGTGGTGACATGGTGCAATATCGACTACGGGTGAAGAGCAAATGGCATTCTAAGCACGGTCTCCCTCAGAAAAAAAACCACTCACCCACGGCTGCGAATGTGGCGATGAGGCCGATGTGGGCGATTCGTAATTGCATTGGCCCTAAAAGTAAGTGTAACACAATCTTTTCTTATGGAGAAGTAGGCAATCAGCTGGCAATATGCGACAACAAATTCGAACGATTTGCATGAGATGGGAATTATCTGTTTTTAAAACGGCTAAGAAGAGATTCACAAGAGATTCCGTTTGTCTTCAGGAAACTGTTCAGCGCAAATGGTTGGAAACGTAGAATTCGAAGAGAACTTGCTCAAAGTATGTATCAAATCCGAGAAGACGAGAGTTTCCATTTCCGGGAGAAGCTTGCGGCCAGAATGGGTATATTCTATCTCTGACATACGAAAAACAAGTACACAATCAAATGCATCTGCAATTACGATATGTCGTCGAATTCATGGCACGTTCTTGACAAATTGATCAGCTTTGAGCACTTCCCTTGTAGATATAGCCGTTGTATAAAATCCAAACTAATTCCGACGTTTATCTCGGAAGTTATTATTATTAATTCGTTTTTTTGGTCTTCTTCAAAGTCTCGCTTCGTGATTGCTGAGAAAAAATTATAATTTCCTTTATTGTACTCCTAGAGCATGGACTTCAAGAAATATAAATTGTATTTTTCTAAAAATAAGTCGAAAATTTTGAGGTTAACGATTGAAGGACATATGGGAGCTGATGCTAGAGAAATGTTGAGAAACTGAGTAGCAGGAAATTTACAAAAAGAGCAACCAATACTATCCTGCTAAAAGCTGCCAACTACAAGTTCAGTTCGAAGACTTGAACATAGAGTTGTATCTGAGAGGATACGAACACCTGCACAATCACTGCCCGTGAATGAGTGTACCATCCAAGTGTACTTTCCAATTGTGCCACAATCTTAGATGGGGTCCGAATGCGTGGCACATGCCTAAGAAAGAGCAGACCAAATAGTATTGACATGATCTTTTTCTGTTTCAGCTGAGAACACGGGAATGGGCTCAGACTGGAAGATGGCATGAATACTTTTAAATGACTGCATTCGGTAAAAATCGTTCAAAACAATGGATTGAGCAAAAATAAATTAAAAATAGAAAATGACTGATCATTTCAGAACGAATCTTCAGGAACATCAAACCCAACTGCAGATCTGCTTCTGACAGCTGTTATCTATTCTTTACCTCAACATACAAGGTTAAGGAGCTGGGGTAGGAACGAAAAACATTCCAACAGAGAACTTCAGTTGACACATGGCTCAGGATTCGGAAAATAAACCCAGAGAAGAAAACTAAATGTTAATGGCATTCAATCAAAAAAATGTTGAGTAAGCCGGAGCAGCATAAATAAAGTAGTAAAAAAAATAGTAATAAGCCGAGTAAGTGTTACAAGTAAGTGTCGCGAGTGTCGTCTGAGATAGAGGGAATGTGTAGTGAAGTCCATATTTGTGGAGTTCAGTTCAGGTGTTGGTACTATTGTAGGGTGAGTGATTCAGAGCGCCGACGAAGCCCGGACCGAGCCCAAGCCACGATAACGCGTGATCGATCGATATTTGATAAGGTGCCCGTATTTTGAAGGTGATGATGCATTCCAATCCTCGACTTATTCTAGATTTGTTTCCAAAACCTGAGCAGTGTCCGGTGTCATNAACGATTCACAAACAACAGCTTTTAGAGAGAGGGGTGAGCAGATGTGATGGATGAGTTATTAACTTATAGAGGAAAACAGAAAGTAGGTATTACCCTTAAAATAGTGGTTTTTAAAGGTAAAGGGTAAAGTAAACAAGTACAGTGCCCGAAATACCAGCTTTTAGGGTTTCCGAAACAAGCACTTTAAGGACATTATTATAGAAAATCATGATATGACCCTAAGAAGAAAATTTTCGGGGTTAGCAAGTGCTTTTCTTGAAATAACAAGATTTGGAAAACTTCCAGAAATTAGCAATATTTCACCGGAATTTTATCCGAATCGGTTTTTTAAGAAACAAAAAGTAAGATGGAAGTGTGGAGTATTGATTGACTTCTTTTCAGGAACTGTGAAGCGCTCAGATAGCATTTACAGCTACAGCTACAGTTGAATGCCTGATAGCTTGAGTAACAACGACTTCAGGTTCAGGTACGACCTCCAAATGTGAGTCTAATTAGCAATTCATTGAGGCTGCAGTGATGGGAAGTTGTCGTAGTTCTAATAGAATTCGATCCTCTGACCATGTACGAATTAGAAAAGGTTGATAATCACTACCTTTCAGTCGTGAACATCAAATGAAGAGGAGTCCCTGAGGTGAGAAATTTGTTTATAGAGAGGCAATCAGTGTAATGGCAGCATAAGCAACAACAGAAAGAGAGTTTGGGATGAATCATCCTCTATTTGACTTTCAAATCAAACAGCGTTGGCAACGGATGCTTCTCAAAAAGGCAAAAGACATGGATAGATTTTATCGAACACCATGGTTAGATTATCCAACTTCCATCTGATTTACAAAACTTCAGAAGGGGGAGGGGAGGGGAGGGGTTGGAGGTAGTGGATTTGGTAATTCGAACCTCGTGTAATAGGTAAACAACCTAGAAAATCGCTGCTCTGAGGAGCTAAACCACTGATGTGATCCCCTCCGATAGCAAGCAATACAATCAATTTTTACGAAATTAATGTAAAAAAGCACAAAAATAGCGCTCACCGATCAATAACAAAAATCAGAGCGAAACAGCACGACTAACAAAAATGCTGATGGAACTTCGCTAATATGAGCCATGCGCTCGACTTCTTCACAATATTGGACAATCAATGGGACAAAGCGCTACTAACTCTGTGCAATGTTTTCTATGTTGGTCTATACACCTACACACCCCACAAAGTTGCGACTGTCTCATATACAGCCATAAAAGAATGAGGAGCTTACTTGGTCTGTTTGGCCTGATCGTACTAATACACAAAGTCTAGTGCGGATTCCTGGGCCTTGTGTGGCACTCATATTCCGCAAACATCAAAAACTAGTGATGTCACAGCATAAATATAAGCTTTACTTAAAAAAGTGGGATGATAGAAATGATCAGTGCTCATGAGGACCTCTCAGGCCTTGCAGAGTACTTTCAAGCGATAAATTCAACCTTTATTTAGAAGTGTCTATGGACATCGATTTCGAGAATTCCTTCCCAAAGGAGTTTAATAGCCATCTGATGGCAGAGTAAGTACTGCCGATCATTTAATACGAGCTTGGTAGTAATTGTTACTATGCTGAAGAAGATTCCAACCTATTGCCATGTATGTCGTTATAGTGGATACATCTACCTCGCTCGGACAGAGCAAACATAGTAACTCTTGAGTTGGTATTACTAATATTCAGGAGCCGAGCCCCTTTGGGTTTTGCACGACTACTTCAAGGTACTGGTCAAGACGGGGCAAAGAGATAAACGCGAAAAAAGAGAAAGTTGGAGAACCAGCCAACCAGAGCCCAGGGTTTTTTTCCAAGGCCCTTCCAACCATGAATTCGATTTCAGAGCTCAGAGCAGTTAATAGTTGGAACTAATTGGGCATAAGAAACCATAAAAGTATCTCCGCAGTTTTGAGTAATACACTGATGAACTTTTCATCAATAATACCCTCCTAAACATCCAACACTGACAAGGGCAATACGAACTATTTACGATCGAGCCTGAGCAAATGAAGCCATCGATAATCGATTCCCTACCGTAAGTTTTTTGATCACGCATTTTCTCAAAACTCCAGACACATTTGTTTAGCTGACGTAAAAATGATCGATTCATTCCACCTAGATACGAGGACCATATGCTCTTCAAAAAAAACCTCATTCTTGGAATGCTTCAAATGTTAGACGGAATACTGAAAAAAAAAATATCCAAAATGTCTTTAAGAGGTTATAGGGAACGAAGAGAAATAGGTTTTTCATTGGGTGGAAGCCGTAATAAAAGGGCAGAACGAGAACATGACAGAATATGAGACATCGTGCCACGAAAGAGGCAACCATCTGTGAAAGCAGAGTGCGCGGATACGAATATCGATAGGTTAGGCAGGTGTTCCCCAGGATGGATGGTGCTGGAGGTGGTGGTGAGAGCGGCCCGTCCAACCGATGAGGGGGCGAGTGGGCAAACATCCAACCCTTGTGTCACTACGCAAATACCGCAAGCCGCTGCGCGACGGCTCCGGCGACGTCGGCGACGACGACGGCGGCGGCGATGGCACGCTTCAACGACGGCGATAACAAGTGATTAGCTGCTTGTCTGTCGTCCGACAACAGTCGATAACGATCAATAAGTGCTCATCAACAGTAATCTCTCGCTACCGTATATAGTATTACGGTAGCGATTGGCTGATCTAGACTTGCCCGTAGGCGACTATACTGGCTTTTATATTGGCTGCCTTCTAGAGCCTACTATGGTGAACCAACTCATCATTCAAAAACTGCTATACTTCGAATGAAGGTCTAATTCATGGCGTATACTGGAGAAATAGTGAGGCGTAGCGCCTAGCAGCCAACTATCAGTTTAATAAACTTAACTTTATGCAAAGTAAAGTAGTGGAATGAATTTTCGATGGAAAGGTAGCTAAGGTGGTTCTTGGAGCTGCAATTGAAGACGGGCGCTCAGTGAAGCGATGTACCGCCGAAAAGCAAACAGACGGACTATCACTGGACTCATTAAGCACTCACGACGATAAGGATAAGGTGTACTTCAAAATGCCATTGAAAAACAGTCCTATTTATACATACTTTTCCGTACGCACTGTAATCAAATGTAAGTTGTTCTGGGAATAATACGACTGAGTTTTGTACTTGCTGGGAGATGTTGTGCCTATTCGGCAACCGTAGATTGATCTGGTCTTCATTCCCTCGCCTTTTTAACAGAAGCCTCGTATCCGTTTTTTATCGAAAACCTAGCTGAGTCAGTACGATTGACCAGAATAAGGGTGGAGAGAAAATGCTCAATGATGTTCTCTTCTCGTCCAAACGCAGAAGCAATAGGTAGACTACGATGGTGGAAGGGCTTGCTTCTCTGCCTAAACCTGATCCCGTATCCTGGGAATTACGACATAGTTTCCTAAGTTGCGCCAACAGCC